GAAAGAGACAAGGCAGGGGCCAGCTTGTGAAGGGTCTTGCGAGCCACCTTATGGAAGTGGGGCTTTATCCCAAGAGTGGTGGGACACTACTGAAAGGCTTCCTGTTAGAGAGGGCCATCATCACCCTCACCATCACCTTCATTACAGCCATCGCCTTCACCACCACCATCATAACCATCACAGCCGTCATCATCACCATCATCATCACCATCACCAACATCATCACCATCATCATCACCATCACCATCACCAACATCATCACCATCATGATCACCATCACCAACAGCATCACCATCATCATCACCATAACCAACATCATCACCATAATGATCACCATCACCATCACCATCATCACCATCACCATCACCATCATCATCATCATCATCATCACCATCACCAACATCATCACCAACATCATCATCACCATCACCAACATCATCACCAACATCATCATCACCATTATCATCACCATCACCAACATCATCACCATCATGATCATCATCACCATCACCATCACCATCACCATCATCATCACCATCACCAACATCATCACCATCATCATCTCCATCATCAGCACCATCACCAACATCATCACCATCACCATCATCATCACCATCACCAACATCATCACCATCATCATCTCCATCATCAGCACCATCACCAACATCATCACCATCACCATCATCATCACCATCACCAACATCATCACCATCATCATCTCCATCATCAGCACCATCACCAACATCATCACCATCACCATCATCATCACCATCACCAACATCACCATCATCATCACCATCACCAACATCATCACCATCATCATCACCATCACCATCATCATCACCATCACCAACATCATCACCATCATGATCATCACCATCACCATCACCAACATCATCACCATCACCATCACCATCACCAACGTCATCACCATCATCATCACCATCACCATCACCATCATCATCACCATCACCAACAGCATCACCATCATCATCACCATCACCAACATCATCACCATCATGGCAGCTCATGCATGTTGACTGCCAACTCTGTACCAAGCTAAACACTTTCATACACTAATTCTGCTAACAGTTTTATGATGTGGATGCCATTACTATCCTCATTTTACAGATGAGGAAATGTAGACTCAGAAAGGATAACTGAGATGCCCAAGACCACACAGCAAATGAGTCTGAGCCAGAAGCAGAACTGGAATCCAGGTCTGCCCGATCCCAAAGCCTTTGCTCTTAAACACTGTTCTTTACAGGTTCTTTACATGTATAGCTTCCCTATCATTGTCTTTGCCTTCTTAAAAGACATCATTGGCTGCAGAGTGGCGAATATGAATTGGGAGATGGTGGTAGTTAATATCAGAGATGGGGAGACCAATAAGAGATGATGGTTAGATACAGAAAGAAGCAGATAGATCCAGGAAACACTTAGGTGGAATGTAAAAGAGGTGCTGATTCACTAGGTGTAAGGAATAGCAGAGAGGGTTATTTCTCTTCACCATGAGCCCCAGGTTTCTAGCATGGATTGATGGATGTGGAGACAAAGCAGTGTCAGTTCTGTAGACACAGAAAGCAAGTTTTTTTTTTTTTAAATGAATGAGTGAATGAATGCATGAATAATGAAGGGACCTCAAAATGAAGTGGGTAATGAGTTCCCCATCACTGGTAGTATGCAAGCAGTAGTTAGACAACGGTTTGATCTAGACCTTGTCAAATGGAAGGCACCTAATAGATATATATCTCATGCACGGATGATTGAATTACAGTCATCCTTATGATTCTAGGGCCTCATGGGGCCTCATGCGCACCTGATGGGTGCTTGGTAATGAGTCACCAATGTAGGAATATGGGATGGGAGAAAATATTCAAACCCTGTTGAAATTTCTTAGATTGTACTTGAGTATATTTTAGAGTGTACCTTTTAATACATGTAAATAAGTGTACGTATTGGGTACATATAATCAAAATTTTTTACTTATATGGATATGCAATTACAATAGCTTGGACACCACTGATTTGTAGGACAGAAGCCCTAAAGTAGGTTGAGTGGAAATAAACGGAACCCCCAGGCCAAAGACTTCTAACCGCCACGGCAGTGTCTGTGACAAGACTCAGGTTTTCGGGAGTTGTAACAAATGAAAGAACTACGCAAAAATGCCTCATCCCTTTATTACCCTGGACAAAAACACATGTTTATGCTGTTCATCCATTTCTCCTTGTTTGTGAAATGCTCCCTCTTTACAATGTAGTAGCTCTTTGGACCTTTCACAGGACAGATGTTCTTTATCATGGTACCAACACAGCCCATGGGGCAGCTCCCTTCCCACAGACCGATTGCTCCTTAGCCCACAGATGGACCCTAAATGACCATTAGGGGCCCAGGGCTGTGATGCGGCTCTGCTCATAGGAGACTTTCAGACCATACACACCCACTGATGAATGAGTGGTACACATTCCAAAGCCCAGCCTCCTTGTGTGTTACCCCACTCACAATATGCACATGGTTTAACTTCATTCTATCACTAAATGGTTCCTACTTCGTTCTAATGCTAAATGGTTCCTATTTCTTATTTCCTCTGTTTTCTTTCTCCAGCCAGAAGTGTGTATGTTTATCTGGGCAGAGGGGTATGCGTAGCAGAAAACAAAGGCTGAGATGGGGAAGAAATCTCCTGTGACTCTTTTTCTTTTAAAATCCAGAGCTGGATTGGGCAGTATTGGCTCTTTGCCATCTAAATGCTCCTGGTCCCGAAGGTTCTATCCTCTCCAGAGAGAGCCCGCTAACAAATCACCCATTTACTGATCGAGTGAGTGCTTCCAGGGCGCTGCCTGCATTATGCGTCCCGAACTCCATTGCTACTGAGCGTGCCTCCCTGCCTAGACTCTGAGGGCTTGATGTTGGCGCCTGGGTGGTGCGTTCTCCGTTATCTCCACGTGGGCCGGCCACAGAAGGCAGTTTATAAAACGTGTAGAAAAAGAAGAAACGAATTCCGCCTGGAGAACCTCGGGCTTGGGACTAGGGCTGTGTCTTAAGCTTCTGGCCAAGGATGCTGGTCCAGTTTCATCCTGCCTGACACCTGGTACCGGCTTTCCGACCCGTCCATCACTGCCCACCCCGCCCTTTGACACAACGAGCCGCCCCTGCCCCGCCCACAGGAGGCAGAGCCGCGGACCCCTCTCCAGTTGCTTCTTTGGGCAAATGATCTACGGGCTGGGGAGGGCGTCCTCCCACCTCCAATGAAGATGCCTGTGTGTGTGTGTGTGTGTGTGCGCGCGCGCGCGCGCGCGCGCACGTTGATGGGAAGGCCAGGTGGTGGAAGGCAGTTAACATTTTGAGCACCTAGTATGTGTCAGACACTGATGGGTGCTTTACACCCCACCATTAGCTACCGATTCTCCTCTACGGACCTTTTGCTGAACCTGTGTCTTTCTCCTTATAATAAATTTATTCCTGTTCTGTGGGCGTAATAATGCCTCACATTTACATAGCACCTTTCATTTGTCAAAGTACTTTTATGCCTGTTAGCTCCTTTAATCCCCCAGCAGCCTCGTGTTACAGAGGAGGAAACCGAGACAGGGACACAGCCACGTGCAACTAGTTATAGGCTGAGCGGGGGCGGCCTCTCCTCACCCCTCTGCTCTGCCCCGCCCACAGTGCCTTGCTTGACCGTGGCTGCAGGTGCTGACTTATCCCCACATGAGTCTGCAAGTTCATTCAAGACTGAGACTGTACTTTCTTTTTCTTCTCTTACCTACAGTGCTCAAGGCTGCATATACAGCAAGTGCTGGATAAGTGCTTATTGGGTTCTTCTTTGGCACAGACCACTTGTCTTTCCATGAGGGGAATGAAAGAATCCTGGTCTCTGGATTCACACCATGGATCTCTCAGAGTTTAACCTTCATTAACCTGAGAAATCATCCTCCGAAGTCCTAGCTGAGTGGATTAAAGAAACCCAAGGCAAAACTTCAGCTGAGCCCTGCGTGGGCACTCAGCAGCTGCACCAAAGCTGGGTGGCATTTCTGGAGATCTGAGCTGTCATGCTGGGGCAAGGTGGGACACCACATGGGAGGGAAGCTCGGTCATTCCTGCCCCTACCCCCAGGCTCCCTCCACTCCTGGGAAACAGCAGGCTGGTCTAGGGGTGGCAGCAAATAAGAACAATAATACTCTTGTGTTTCTGGAGCCCTTGGCTGTGTACCAGATCACTCCAACCTCACAGCCTTGTTATCTGCAACTTGAGCCGGGAAGGAATTTACTGGAGACACTGACTCACTGTCCAAGGTCACACTTGGGATTCCTTCCATTCCTCCTGGGGCACATCCTGAGAATCACTGTCCAACAATCGTCACCCGCGTTAGTAGCCCTGGTGACATCTGCTCACCGGCTGCTTCCCACCCACTACGACAGTTTGTGAATCTGGTGTTCCACTGAGATGGAGGTCCGCAGTGTGCCCATGGAGTTCTCCGTCTGGCTGGGCTCCGCCCCGCAGCCCCCTTGCCGGCACAGCCGCCCGTACACCTCCCGCGACTTCTTGCGGAAGCTCTTGCCCACGATCACGTACACCAGCGGGTTGAGGCAGCTGTTGCTATAGGCCACGAAGGACGCGATCTGCGTGAAGACGTCAACCACGTGTTCGTCCCAGCAGCTGGAGAGGATGTTGAGGCGCAGCAGCGTGTCCAGGAAGGTGCTGATCTGGAAGGGCAGCCAGCAGACGATGAACAGTAGCAGCACGGCCAGGACCAGCACAGTGGCTTTCCTCTCTGTCTGGATCTCCTTGAACTTCTGCATCTCGTTGTTGCGCAGCACGCGCATGATGTGCACGGTGCAGAAGGTGATGACGCTCAGGGGCAGCAGGAAGCCCACGGAGTTCAGGAGGCTGTTGGTGAAGACCTCCCAGCTGCGGGACGGGTAGATGATGATGCAGGCGGTGACGTTGTGGCCCTCGGCCCCGTACTCCTGCATGGTCCGGAAGACCAGCATGGGCAAGCTCAGGAAGAGCGAGCAGCCCCAGATCGCCAGGCTGTAGAGTCTGGCCCAGTGCACCCTGCGCATCCGGCCCACGGACATGGTCTTCACCAGGGCCAGGTAGCGGTCAATGCTCACCAGCATGAGGAAGCAGATGCTGCTGTAGAGATTCATGTAGAGCACGGTGTTCACCACACGGCAGAGGACTTCCCCAAAGAGCCAGTTGAAGTTGTTGGCGATGGTGATGGCCCAGAAGGGCAGCCCGCAGGTCAAGAGCAGGTCGGCCGCGGCCAGATTGCCCAGGTAGACCTCCGCCACCGTGCAGCTGCTCTTGTGCAGGCAGAAGACGCTGAGGACGAAGGTGTTCTCGAGAGCTGCCAGTATGAAGAGGACCCAGAGGAAGGGGGACTGGATGGTGTTCAGCCAGCTCCACCAGTCGGGGTGGACGCAGCTGCTGCTCTGGCGAGGGGTCCCGTTGACAGCAGGTTCAAGGACTTGCAAGGTGACGTTGAACATTTTGGCGCTGCAAGACAGTGGAAGAGAGGCAGTTACACCTCGAGGTCACAAGAGGAGGGAGAAACAACTGGTGCAGAAGGACAGGGGGATGCTTCCAGAAGGCAAAGTCAGGGGTGAAATTCAGGCCCTTTCTGTGCGGTGTTCAGAGGCAGTTCAGGCATACCTGTGTCCCCAGGGTCTTAGAAAGGAGCCTCTGCTCCTTGGACTTAAACTGAGAGCTCCCGTTCTTCACCTCCAGGCTCCACTGGGATGTGTACTTGACCAGCATCCGTCACCCAGACTAACAAGCGTGAGTGTTAGACCCTGGACCTCCTCAAAGCTTCCGTGATGGGAGGATACACAGCATATTCCTTCCTTATCACAGGCCCCCACCCCCACAAGGGCACTGGTCTCTTTCAGCCTCTTGTGGCCTGGCCATGGGTGAGCAATTTATTAGAAGAGAAAAGTGATATCATGTCAGACAGGGAGATTCCAACCTGGCTCGGAGACCACAGTCCATCTGCCCACTCCCTGTCTCCTTCTGGCAGAGGGCAGCATCATGCTTCCGTACCTTCCATCAGTGTAGCATTGATGATGAGCAGAGGTTGCTTGATGAAAAGGGAGGGGAAGGGGCTTTGGAGCCAGACAGTCCTCTGGGTTCAGGCCTGGCTCATTCATTAGCTGTGTGACCTTGGGTAAGTTAATTAACCTCTCTGAACCTTAATGTTCTACCTTGTAAAATGGGAATGACAAAATCTTCTCAGGTTTGTGGTGGGGACCTGAGACAGGGTGCAGAAAGCCCCAAGCACTGCACTTGATTCAATAAACATGAATAATTACCTGTTTTTTGTGAACTTATTAAAATAACCAATGTCAAACTCCAGCACCGCTGTTGGCAGATTCTTGCTCTTATATTGGTGATTCCATCATTAACCCACTGGCTCCTGTTTCACACTGAGACTCAGACCAGTGGTGAGACTCAGACCAGGGGGCAGTTCACTTTCTGGAAGTTCCTCTCCGACTTCAACAAAGAGGCATGGGGTTTTGATAGACATTGGCTCCAACCCTAGCTGTGTTGTCTTGGGTAAATTGCTTGACCTTTCTGAGCTTCCACCTTATTGTCGTAGAGTCTTACTCTCTCCCTGGCTTGCCTTGCATGGCTCTTGCAAGGTTTAAATCAAAGAGTAGGTATGAAGACACATTGAAAAACTAAAAGCACAATGCGAAGGGCAGGACTAATTGGGCACTTTCCTAGTGCTCTGTGGGGTGGATGAAGGAAGGTGGAGGTGGAGGGGCTCTTCCTGGGCAATTGATTGTTGGGTAGGCTCGTGGGGGAGGAGCTGAGCAATAGATCATGGGAAAGAATCTGCTGATTGTCTCTGGGATTTCCCAGAAAACATCCTGGAGCAGCTGGCTGGCTTTGAGGGGCCAGACTGGAGACGTGTGATGAACTCACTCATTGATGAAATTTCGCTTTAAATGTTTCATGAGCATCTCCTCTGTGCTGAGCTCCACCTTGGCTCTAGGGACCCAGAGGGGAACACCACACATCTCCTGCCCTGCCCGTGCTCCCAACACCTGCGACCCAGTGTGCGCCGTGAGCGCCGAGGGGTGGGAGGAGGGGCAAGGGACACAGATGTGGGGGGAGGAGGTTGGAGGTAACTCTGGAGCTGGGTCTCAGAGGATGAAGAGAATGTCAGCAGGGGCCAAGAAGGAGGGAGGGCAGATCAGGCAGAAGGAGCAGCTTGAGCAGAAGCACAGAAGTGGGGAAGCTGCTGGTGTGTTCTGGCAGGTGGACTAGATGTTGGATGGGGAGGTTGGAAGTGGCAAGTGATGGGGTTGAATAAGGGGATAAGGACAGTCTTCAATGGGTGCTGAGAAAGTGAGGCTTTGTCCCTATTGGAGATACGCTCTGGAGAGGCCCTCCTAGTGGAGGGTGGTTTTAATATGTCCACAAATTCTTCGATACTCCTCCTTTCAAAGGGTGGAGTCTAATTCCTCTTCCAGTGAATGTGGCCAGACTTAGTGACTTGCTTCCCACCCATGGCGGCAGTGTGTGACATCCAAGACTAAGGCGTAAGAGGCTTTGCAGCTTCCTCCTTGGCCTCTTGGTTTGCTTACTCAGGGGGAGGCTAGCCGCCATGTTGTGAGGACACTCAAGCAGCCACATGGAGAGGCTCCATGGAGAGGAACCGACTTGCCACCTTGGTCATGGATCCTCTGGCCCCAGTGAAGCCTTCGGTTAGATTCTGTTCCCTCGGCCTGTGAGTCTTCCAGCTGAGGCCCCAGACATCACAGAACAGAGACAAGCCATCCCCACTGGACCCTAAATTTCTGACCCACGGAAACTGGCAGGCTTCTCTGCAGAGCCTCTGAAGGTAAGACCTCCCCTACATGGTCCCCTTGGTCCAGGCTTTGGCCCGATTTCTACAGGTACAAAAAACTTGTTTCCTTAGTGCCCCAGACCTGGGGCACTGCTGTCTCTCATGGTCCAGCTCTCTAGACACTCAAGTGTCACACCACATGCTGCTTGTTAATTTCCCCCACAAGGCAGTCCCTAGCCAACGGGATGGCACCTGGCCCATACCTGCTCTGAGAAGCCACAGGATCATTAGAAGGTGGCCTGGGGAGTGCTTGACTGAGAGTTATAGGGCCCGTGTTCCATAGCCCCAGCTGAGATGGCCATCTGGTCATGTCCATAGTAGGTGACACCTGACACAGGACCTAGAGGCCCAGCTGGGCCCAGCTCCCACTTTGTCTTCCTAACACTGCCCCCCTCAGGACTGACTCTCTCTTTCCTCTGCTTCCACTCAGGATCAATTCCCCCCACATTCTCTCTTTAGAGTGTTCAGACCTTCCCCAGAGGTCAGCCTCGTGTTGGAGACGTCCCGTCTCCATTGCAGACATGCCACGTCTCTGTCTGATTTCTTGTGTTGCCTTCAGAATTTCAATCTCTTTCGTTTCACGTTCACCTGGGGTCATTCACACGTGGCCACCTGTGCAATGTGTGCTTCTCCTGCACACGCCTCCCTCAAACAGAACAATCCACTCCCTCCACCCCCGACAGGCCTTTGGGGATTGGAACACCAGCCTCACCAGCCCTTGAGAACTTTTGTCTTTGGGTTTAACATTGCCTGGCGCTTCACGTGTTGTCCCTGAGAGGAAGGGCGTGCTCTCCTAGGTGTTCTCCAGCTTGTCCCCTCCCCTCTGCCCCATAGATAGTAAATCGAGGAATCCCTCTGACTCAGCTGAAAGAGGCAGTGGTGGGCACGGTGTCCTCATGAACAGATTGGATCATTGATCTCTTCCAGGCAGAGAACACCTGGACTCAGAGGGGGCCGTGAGTACCGGCCTGCCCAGGCTGACTGGAAGAGAAAAGACAGTTAGGTGGTGGGACTGGGGACCATAAAACACACGTATTCCCCACTAGGGGAGAGAAACGGAGGCCTTCACTTAACAAATACTTATTAAGCATCCATCACACACTGGGTGCCAGGACGTAATGTGAGAACAGGCACAGCGTCTGTCCTCCGGGGGCTTATGGTCTCACGGAGAAGCCAGACATGACTCAGTCACTAAGTTACCGAAAACTGACATAAATCCTATGAAATAAAATGCAAGGTCCCGTGACAGCATGGAATGTGGGGTTCTAATCCAGCCACGGGCAGGGGCTGAGTGGATATTTATTATGAGACCCGAGGGTGAGCAGGAGTAAGCTGGGTGAAAGGATGGTGGTGGAGGATGTCTGGACAGAAGGAGCAGCAGGTGCAAAGGCCCTGGGGCAGGAAGACGCTGGGTGCAGATGTGTGTTAGGCCCTGGTGGCTGGATTGTGGGGGAGTCAGGGGCAGTTGCTGCCCGTTTTTATAGGCACGGGATGATGGAGACCATAGAGGATCGATTCCAGAGGTGTTTAGGGAGGAACACTGACGCGTCTGGAGCAAAACTGGACATGGAGAGGTGGAAATGAGGGTAAGGAAGGGATCAAGGATGCTGCCACCCCCGTCCCGGTGCTGCTGTCTCCTATGAAGGGGATGAATGGGAAGGGCTAACTTGGAGAGACAGGATCATGTGTTTAGACTTGAGCCTGTAAGGTTTGAAGCGCTTAGAGACTTGCACATGGGTCTGGAGCTCAGGGGAGGGGGCTGGACTGGAGGACAGGCTCGCCCTGATGCAACGGAGATGAATTAGACACAGGATCTCCAGGGCCTTCGAGCCTAAGAGACAAATACAGAGGAGTGTTTCCAATCCACAACTCTGGTCAGTGCTGCAACGTGCTCTCAAGTTCTGAGCCAGGTCCTCACCTGAGCCCCGGGGAAAAGTGACGGCCTTTCTGCCCCGTGGGGCTCGCACTGGCACAACCTCCCTCTCCCTCTTCAAGTTCGACGGCACTGTCCTCCAGGGAGGTAGGCATTGGCTGTACGCTTGCCTTGCAGAGGAAGAAACGAGGTGCAGAGAGGTGGGGTGACTTATCCAAGTGCCATTGCTGGCAAGAGGTGGAGGTGGGACTTCAACCCTTCTGGTGCCAGACCTGGAGCTCGGACCAGTATCCCACGTGACCTCTGGCTGCTGTCTGGGAAGGGTGTGAAAAACTGGGCGCATGCATGCGTGTGTGTGTGCGTGTGTGCGTGTGTTTAGCCATGGGTCTGCCCTGCCCTAGGTTTCAGCAGCTTCTCAGCTAGAGGAGTCTGTGCAGACCCTGCGCACCCGGCTTCCAGTAGCCCAGCTCTCCCAGTGCAGTTGTGGGAGGTGGAGATCAGTTAGCAGACAATTGTGGAAATTTGAACACATTAGGAAAAAAAAAAAGACTGGGTTGGTAAGCAGAAAATAAAGCCAGAGATCTTCAGTTAACACCCAGAAAAGGTTTCCCCAATCCCCCAAGCTGAGCTGAGGTCAGGATTTAGAACTTGCAAGAGATGCAATGCACAGCAAGTCCTTTTGATTTTTCGAGGAGGGGGGTTAGGGGAAGGGAAGAAAGACCTAGTAGAATGCTTTTCTGAGGGGCCCTGCTGGGGCCATGGAAAGAAAATTCAGCTAGGGGTCAGAGGTCATGTATTCAGATCATTCATTCCTCAACAGCAATTATTGAGTGTTTTTCTGGTGCTGGAGATTAGGTGGGGAAGAGTGAAGCCGAACTTCCCCTGCCCCCATGGGCCTCTCTGTCCAGCTGAGGGACCTCAGCCTGCCTGCTGAGGTCACCATTTCCACCAAGACAGTGACAGCCGCATAGCTAACCCAGGGTCTCCCAACTCGGTCACCCTGGGGAGGTGGCAGCCCCCCCTCACTGCCCTCTGTTATGGGTCAGCAGCAGGGCCAGGTGTCCCCAGATCTGGCAGGATCAGCCCAACTGGGCCCTAACTGTTTGCTAATGACTGTCAGCATTGCTCTCCTGTTCAAAACAAAGTTGAGGGCTTTTCTCTTTCATATGTGCAGAGAGCAGGCAGTTTGAGGACCAGGGAGAAGGTAGGAGTCCGAGGCGACTCTAGTTTCTCTGCATCTGCTCCACGTGTGGGAGCATCCATCACCCCCTGCTTCTCCCCAGCCCTGTCCCGGGAGTGCAGGGACCACTCCCTGGGGATGAGATGGCTGCCATCTGGCTTCCCATGGGTTTTGGCCCACGGGGGCACCAGCAGGAGGCCGAGGGAGGGAGGAGGATGAGGATGGGGTGCCGGCTCCCAGCTCCCTCCTCTGGGGGCCTCCAGGGGCCGGCTGGGCCTGGCCCGATTCACAGCTCCTATCGGGGCACTTTCCAACTCGCTGCCCAGTGATGCTGGTAAGTGACACTTCCTCTTGCCGCTCAGGCCTCAGGCCCGGAGGGAGCGAGGGAGGGAGGGAGGGATGAGTGGGTCGGAGGGAGGGAGGGACGAGTGGGTCGTCTGCCAAGGCCTCTGCTGCTCTAGCTCTGAGGCCCTGGCAGTGCCCCCACGCACTGTCTACAGGCAGAAAATAGACCCTCTGTTAAAATTCTCTTCCGCTAACCAGTATTAGCTGGTTTGAATGTGCCCTCTCTTTCCTACTGGACCCTGACTGATATATCTTGGGATTATAAACTCAGATGTCAGAGAACTATTTAAGGGACTGTTGGGGGGAGGGCACGGGCGTGGTGTGGCGGGCACATCGGCGCTGAGGGTGGTGGCGATCAGGTGTGCGGTTCTGGGTGTTATTTGAGGGAGTCCCTTTAGCCTCCTGGGCCTCGGGGTCTTCATCGACACAGCTGGGGGTGGGAGCGGGGGTGGGGCGTGGGGATGGACCCATGCCGCCTCCTGCCTCTACTCTGATCCTCGTGTCTGGGTCGGGGCGCTGGGCCGATGACTCCGCAGCTGGGCTTTCCCCTTGTTTTGCAAACTGATGCTTTAGAAGAAACATCTAACATTCTCCCTCAAAATTGGTCCAAGAAGACTTACTTTAAAAGTATTTCCTTTGTTTGAATCACATAAACACTGGCTCTTGGTGCTGCAGGGAGCATTCCCATTTTAGTCTCAGAGGGAGTCTATTTTGGTTCCCCAAGAATCCATGTCTGAGGGCTCTGCGGCTGTGGCCACCCCAGGACACCACAGTGTCACTTTCTCAAGGGCCAGGATTTGCTTTGTATGGAGCCCCTGATCCTGTAGACAACTCGTGTCCCGTGTTTTGTGGCGGTGTGTTGGAGACAGAGGTATTTCCCAAAGCGAGGGTTGTGGACTGGATGGTAAATAACCTCGAATCGTTGAGCCACTCCTCTGGGTTAGCCCTGGAGAAAGTGTCTTCGGCACCTCTCTGGTGTTTATAACCCACCTTTCAACAAAGACAGCAGGCCCAGCGCCTGGGCTGGCCCCCAAATCTAGCCAGACTTTAACCGGATTGTTTATGGTCCATTGTATTTATTTTTACAGGCTTTTTTTTGGTGACAAATGGTGCTCATTTTCCATTTAAGTTGGTGATATGGAGTTACCAGTTCAGAAGTGAGTTGCTATTAAAGTAGCTGTACAGGTGACATAGACGTCAGAACCTGTGCGTGGAATGACCGCACGAGGGAAACACAGCCCGAGGAGTCTAGCTGGAAACTCACGTCATAAACGGGAAACCCAGCCCCGCGGTCAGGCTTACCGTCTCTGGAGCCAGACCTGGAATTGGGTCCCCCTCTATCGGGTCATTATTTAACCTCGTGGTGCCTCGTTTTTCTCAACTGTAAAATGGGGGTTCGTATAAAAAGAGCCCTCACCACCTAGGGCGGCTGTGAGGAATAGATGAGTGAATCCATGTCCGATGCCCGAAGCATGCGGTGAACGTGTCCAGGATGGGTGCCCCCAGGGGGCCCGTCTGCTGCAGGAGCCCCCCACGTGGCCTGCTCTCCCACCCACAGCCCAGCTGAGGTTTGCAGACACAGTTCCACAGCTGGATGGAGAGATGAGTGTGTCGCTGGGACATCACCAGCCTGCTGATCCAGGGGAACCCTTGAGACCGCACAGTCCTATCCTGTCGGGAGGGCGGTCCCCTTTCACCTTTTGCATCCCCTCTCACAGTGCTAGCCTGGTGTGTGTGTCTGTGTGTGGATGCACGCATGCTCCTGTCCCGTTATATTAAATACACCTGCGTTGCTCGTCTTTCCACCCTCTGCCACGCCTGCTGCTGTGTTTTGCACATCCCAGTCTCTTGGAAAACATTTACTCCATAAATAAGTAAAATCTCTCAGACCACCCAGCAAATTGGAGTCAAGGCCAGAGCTACAAAGAACCAAGGTCTCCCGAATCTCAGCTCAGAGCCCTTCCCTGGACTTCTCCCCGGAATAAATGTTTTCCTCTAAAATCTGCTTTATGTGATCGCTGAGTACGGATGCTGTCTGTAGGGAGAAGTGTGGCCTGAGTACAGTTTCCAAGGGGCTTTTTCTCCTTTTCCCTGAGAAAAGGTCAGAGCTGTCTGTCGGGGAAGGATGGGGTTCTGGGAATTCAACCTCGGTTCCAGGAACACTTAAAAGAACTGAATCAGAAGATCCATTCAACCTTAGACGTCCACGTGGGCCCTTCTTGCGTTTGGACACTTTGTGGGCCTGGAATGTTTTGGAAACACTTACGGGGGAGGAGGCGGGGTGGCGGGAAGCGGGGGGAGCCTTGAGAAGCAGAGCCCCTCTCCCCAACTGCTTTCTGCAGACGAGGACGGGGTGTGCCGCCCTGACTGTTCCCCCTCACACACCCCGGGCTCCTGCTGGGCTTCATCTGTTTCTTGTTTCTTACTGTTGGCTTATTCTGTTCAGCACATCCTGTTTCCCTCACCTTGGGTTCTGTAGTTTTAACGAATGAGCAACTTTATCTGATATCCTAATACCAATTCTTCACCTTAAA